CACAAGTCCCATTAACATAGGCCAGGTAAAGTTTTACTATTACCTAACCATAAGTAAAAGTTGCTATGTAGAATTCCTTATCTCATGTAGACAAATCTGTTTGGACATACAAAAAGAGGAAAATCCCTCCTTTTCTCAGTCTTCAAACAAAAGGAAAAAGAAGACTGATATTGCTGGTTCTTCAAGAAATTGCTGCATCATTAAATCAATCTTTGCTAGTTTTTCAACCCTTCTTTTCTGCAGCCAGCCAGCCATATAGTACCCATTTGCTCTTGAGCCCAGTCCACCACATGTCTTATACTGATAATAAAAATCATTTAGAAGCCTACACCACTTATTTTAAATGCAGGGACAGTGTAATCTGTCAAACAGACAACAGTACTTCTCAGCACCTTTCCACAATAATGGAGCACAATATTCAGTCTTAAATACATTCAGATTCAAAATCTTTTAAGCAACCACATCTGAGGACTTACAGGAAAATGTGAATAATTACTCAGAGTGGCAAGCCTGTCTCACGAGCATGACCCTAAGCCAGAGGGACCTCAGAGTAGCCTTTTCCCTAGGGCAAACCAGAAAAGGGAGCAGGATTCACATCATCTTCCTGCATCGATCCATAAGCAATTAATCTGCTCTGCCCTGAACAGTCAACATACTAAACTTTATGTCAGCTCATTTGTAGCAGCTGGTTGTTAAGGTTCTCCACTAAAACCTTTGCTCACCTCCTATTGCTATAAGCCAATTCCTGCCTCTAGGGACAGAGAGAAAAAGAAAGTAAGCACCCAGGTGATGTTCACATGCTATTGTCTGGGCTTGCATAGATGTGGGGAAAACCTTGATCTCTAGGTCTCTCCCAGTGTAAAGGCAGTTAGGACAGCATGATTTCAAACTCCCTTCAGAGCCTGTGAGCCAACATTCATCAAAGTCAAAGATATCACAGTAAGTAAAAGTATGCTCTGGACTCATATTGAGTGATATGGAGTCATCAACAAACATACAGGGCTGGAGAGATAGCTCTTCCTAAATATATGACCTGGGATTTTTATATTGCACCTCCTGGGTATAGTAGTGTTTGACAAGATTTACAGAACTGAATCCATCAGAAAAAGGGAACACACAGGTTTAACAGCAGCCGGTCATGAGTCAGGTCAAAGAGACATGGAGGCTTGATTGTGATTTCAGGGTAGGCCATGTCCACAGGTCCTGATTGCATTTTTATCAGCTATAATTTAGAAAGTCTTTATCACCTCCACCAGAACAGAAAATAAATAAAAAATTCACTTCAGCATCTCATAATATCCACACATCAACAATCAAGTAAATAAGATTCATTTTACATTCACACTTGAATTATTATACAGCCAACAAAAACAAAATATGAAACCTTACTGAAGAGCAGTTTTAATTTGATAGCATTTCTGAAGTGTCTGGGGATATCTGCTGTCTATGAATGCCGCATAAATTCTGCCATTGTTTTCTACAGTACTGCAAAAGGAGAACTTCCAAGTGTTGTTCACAGCAGGAAATGCCTTCAGCCTATTTCTACCCACAACTAATAATTCTTAAGTTAATATCTGGTGGGCCCCTCCAAGCATTTCAAAATTGTATGCTTTCTGCAGTGGTCTGGTAAGGACTGCATGACCTACAAAAATTGGTAGCATGAGTTGTGACATCTCATAATGACATGTTCTCACACCAGTTTTGTTTACTGTATCAGTAGTGCAAGTTGTGATTAGAAAAGAAGTAGCACACAGCAATTAAAAGAGATGTTCTTCTTTTTATGACTTCTTTCTCTTTCTTTGCAATTAAAAAAAATCTTACTTTGATCACTGCTATCCTATTCCTCCTCCATTGTTTATCAAATCCCTAAGTCATAAAGTGTTGATGATTTTCATCAAGATCTAGAATACAAGAATTCTCTATTTCATTTATCACTTCAATAAACTTGCTTCCTTTTCAGAAGAAAGTTTCATAATACCTACCATTTAGGACTAAAAGACCAGTCCTAAAATATTCCTGTATTTATAAACTTTTTATATGCCATAATACTAAAAGAGTTGCATATGCAAAACTGAACTGTAAGTCCAGTCATTATGTTAACTATAAATAAGTTACTAAGGAATATTTACAAAGAAATATGAAAAACAAGGCATAAGTAGCATGTCTTTGCATTCAAATGGATATATCAATCCAGACAAAAGATAATGAACCATGTGCTGATCTCATTTTCATACTGCACCTTTCAAGCAGTCTATTTCTATTGCTTATAAGCAGTATTTCATGTGCTGAAGTGGATGACTGTGACCATTTATTCAGCTGAGGACCTGGTTCTGAATTTCTAGCCACACTTCATTTAAGACTTAATAATACACATCCTACCAAATAAATCTATTTGATATTATGAAAAGTTTATAGGAAGCTAAACTAGATAATTTTTAAAGAATTTGTTGGGGTTTTTTTTTAAGGAAATCTGCAGGCTGGAAGATACTTCTATTTACTAAAGTTCATTTTTTTCTATGAACTTTCTAAAGTTCAAAATAATAGGAACCTAAAAACCACAGAGTACAAGATGAAGCATTAAATTCTCATTGTGGTGTACACTAGAGTCATTTGGATGATTAGGCAAAAAATGAATTTTCAAGCTACTGTCCTGTTCTTTACATTTTAGCATTAGCTTTAGGATAATGCATTTCAGAAGCAGACAATATTCACTCAGTTAGAAAGAGATTACCTTAAGTCTTCTTTATGAAAAAACAGGGAGAAGCAGGAACCTTAAGCTCACAGCTATGTCTGTTTTAACTGTGCTGACCCCATTTGTTTCACTGCATTGGTGTTGAGAGCTTTGCTCTGATTTGAAAGGTCAAAGATTGGAGGAGCTATTCCTTACAGACTGTGTTCTTATTTCTGGGTATTTGGTCATAGTATTCTGAATGTTCACCAAATACACCTGGGCTTATAGTTTTCAGATTCCATTCTTTAGAAAAGAAAGAGTTGTCCTCTTTCAATCCATAAGGCTAAAAAATCAAGTCAAACGACAAAAGTTACAATTCCTCAGTGTGTCTACTCTATCCTTGTTTGTTCCATTTTTGAGTGACTGAGCATTTGATTCAGCTCAGGCAGCCACCACTCCCATTTCCTGAGCCTCAGCCAGGTCTCTCAGGCCCATTCACAATTCCAGCACTAACTTTCCATAATTATTTTATTTCCTTAATCTTCCCAATGGCTGGTTCAGCCCCAGGTGGGCCTCATTCCTCTCCAAGTTCAATAAGACAGTCTCTTACTCCCTCTGCTCTCCTGTCTCCTCCAATTTTGATTTTTGTTGGCAGCCTTAAAGTATCTCCTATCCTCTCTCTTATGCACACACAAACACACATATGCACGCACACACAATAGATGGGAAATACCATTTGGAGAAAAACAATGGCAAGCTGCAATTTTCCACACCTCAAAAAGAACCAAAAGCTGGGGAAAAAAATAAAAGGGACTATAAGAGAGAAAAGAGGACCACAAAACTGTAAATAAAGGGGTAAAGGGGAGGGAGAAAAAAAGAGTTTGAATATATTAGTAGCAAAACAGTGAAAAAATGTTATTCATATATGTAAGGGTGAGGGGGAAAATAGTGAGTTATAGTGGCGATAAGGAGAAGATAGAAGATATAAAAAATAGAAAAGTATTAAGCCCCAAATAATCTAAAGCTCAATGTAGCTTTTCAATTTCTACCTCTCTGCTCAAAATTTCTCTCTCTAGAAGTGTTGAAAAAGATGCAAAAACTCCAACCAGTTTCATCTTATTGTCTCTGTCTTAGCTTACCAAACAGTATTCCCAAAGCTTAAAATGTTGAATGCTTGAGCACTCCCTCAGCTTTTTCCACATGTTAACCTGGAGTGCAGTACATGTCATTATGCAAGTGTAATGCTGCATGCTACACCCAGGTGTAGCATCTAACTGTAGTCTTCAGAGACTAAGTCTGTTGGCTGCAGCTTAATAAACTATTTAAGTACATGGCTGATTTAAAGCAATGGCTGAGTCTAACCTGCAGAAGCCGGGTGTGCCTCCCAGCCCCTAACAGCCGTGTGTGTGTCTGTGTGTGTCTGTGTGTCTCTCTGTGTGTCTGTGTGTGCCTCAGCTGCACCCTGGCTTCTTGCTCACTCCCTTCAAGCCTTCGCCCCCACACTCCAGCTTCCGGCCCAGCCAGGTCCCCCCCGGATGATCAAGGACTTGGTTACGGAGCACACCCCACCGCTCAGACAGGGCCTCCGGGAGTCATCGACTGTTATGTTTGCAGCAGCCTGAAGCAGAGCTTTGACTCGGTAATTATCTTGTGAGCTGAGCTTTGTACGAATATTGTTCAATAATAGTTTTGCTGTGAAAGAGCATATCTTTTCTCACTCTCAAAAGCAGAAATAAGTTCAGTTCATTTTTTAAAGAAATCACTTTAACAGCTTGCGCCATATTTAGGAAAAGGAATAAAAGCACACACCAGGGCCAGTCTGGTAACAAAGGACACACATTTGTTTGGTAAAAGCAAATCAGAGCATTCACATGGCCACGTCGCCATGCACTGAAAGTGTGCTCATAGGTGTCAGTAGTTCATGCTTGGCCATCTGTATTTTGTCAACAATAGCAATTCACTTTTTAATGAATGTTTAAAGTCTCAATTCCCACAGGAGTAACAGCTACAGAGAGCATCAGCTATTGCTGAAAGAACAGGGATTCTAGGAATAAACAGAATATTGTGGAATGGCAAATGGGAACCAGTGACCTCATTATTCTGGAAAATGTCTCTTTTTGAACCACAAGGAACTCTGACAATTGTAAAGGTTTGGTCATGAACAGTGGAGTTTTGCAGAGATAGAGTGAAAGCAAAATTGAGCCCCCTGTGTACTTATGGCAGTTCTTTATTATGTGCCATATATTATCATGTTGTGTTGTGTTTTGCTTTATCGTTGTTGCATCTTTATTAGAGGTGGGCCAGAAATAAAACCCAGATGTAAACATACCTGCACTTCCAAGGCACTTGGCTTAAGTTAAGAGCACAGCAGCTGAAAGCTATCCTCAGCATGTATTCTTCTAGAACATTTATATTCTTCTTCTCTTAAAATAAAAAACAAGGAAAACATCTTAAATAGCAAATAAAACCTTGTTGCTGTAAAATAATTATGTATAAAGTTGTTTGCTGCATTTTAAAATAATCTGGCCATACAGGAATGGGTAATGATTCTGTCTTTAAAGAGGAGAGCAATTTTGCTCTCTAGTCTGCAAAATAAAAAGAATGCAGGACACATTCTTGTTCTTAAATCTAGGGATTTCCTTTGTTTAGGCTTATTAAGCAAATTACAGACTGGTGTCTTGCAGTCAGACAGTGAGGTCTGCACTGGATTATTGAATTGTAGGACACAAAACCATATCGTGAAAGAGATGTCATTATTCCGATGACAATGGAGGAGAAAAATATCCACTGCTGACAGGCCCACTTACTCACAAGCCCACTGGTGTCAACATACACAGTGGCAGAGACAGCCTAGGTTAGGAAAAAGTTTGGTACATCTGGTTAAAAGGGAAGTGTGAGAGCTAAAGGGGAGCAAAATACTGTAGGTCAATATTTGCCCTACTGAGGAACAGCAGACACGTATTGGAACTGAAGGATACCATATATAAAGAAGTAAGTAACCACATGCAGTATTTCAGCCATGCCCCAGCTGTAAAACATTATTTGAAGTTATAATAGTTGCACAGCTGTGGGAAGGTGAGGGTCATCCATTTTACATACATATTCAAATTAAGAATTCAGGGCTGCTGGCACGGAGCATCAGCAATGATATGGCCTCAAAGGTAGGAATGTTCAGAAAGACAGACAAAAATCTCTTTTTATTTTCTCTTTTGGAGGTGGATGTGAACTTTTTCACTCCTCTCTTGCTTGTGCATGGTAAAACCTGAAGGTGGAAAATTATGAATATCCTGAGCAACAGAAGTACAGATATACAGAAAATTCAAGAATTAAAATAAAATTAAAAAAAAAAAAAAAAAAAAGAAAGAAAAATCTACACATACAAAAAGGCCTGATTTTCACCTAATTCAGGTGGTGTATAAATGCCCTAACTGCTTTCTTTTTCAATATTCAATTGTGTTTCTTGAATCCCACATCTGGTCATTGATGCCCTGACTAGACTTTCCTTATGTTTCATCTGGATCAAGAAACTAGATGTGTTCCACATATGAATATTCCTGCACAGCAATACACAGGTCATATGTACCTCAACTATCTCTTAATGAAGAAGTCTGGGTACCAGAAGCTCATAATTTATTGCTTCTCACTGACTATTTATTCTCTTTTGATTTTCCTTCACAACCTTCCACTATGACAAAGAAAAACAGAATTGCTGTGGTTGGAAGGGGCCTCAGATCATCTACTATGAACCCCTGCTCAAAGCAAGCTCAGCTAGAGCAGGTTTCTCAGGATCATGTTCAGCTGCAATTTCAAATATCTCCAGGTACAGAGACTCCTCAAACTTTCCAAACATCCTGTCAGTGTTTGACTACCCTGAGCACAGTGAAAGGGTTTTTTCTTAAGTTTAAATGCAATTTCTTCTGTTTGAGTGTAGTAATTGTTTCCTGTGCTGCTGGGGCTCAGGCTGTGCTAGCTCAGGTTCTGCTCTAGGCAAAGCTCTGGCTCTGCCTGCCCTTCTCTTCATACAACTGGAGTTCAGGCTCTTGCAGCTACAATGCCTTGGAGAAGATCTTATCAAACTCCTTTCCTTGTCTCTGATGCAACGCAGTCTGTAGCCCTCCTGCAGCTCTTTCACTTGGCAACACAGATCCTCTATTAGTGCACACTTCCTACAGCTAAGGACACCACCATCTTCTCCAGCTCCAGCATCATGTCATTCCAGGCAGGCAGCTAAACACCACACAGCTGCTCACTCACCCACCCCCACAGCAGGATGGGGAGGGAATTCAGAGAAAAAGTAAAAATCATGGGTTGAGATAAAGACAGTAATAGGACAGGGCAGGAAGGAAGAAAGGAAATTAAAAATCAATAACAGTAATAAGAATAATTAGAATATATGAATAAATAATTAGAATACACAAACAATTGTTTACCGCCTGCCAACCTATGCCCAGCCAATTCCTGAGCAGTGGTCCCCAGCCTGTTTTCTCCATAGTTTATGTACTGTGTATGACACCATATGGTATGGAATATCCCTTTGATTAGCTGGGTTCACCTGTGTTGGCTGTATTCCAGCTCAATTTACTGTGTCCCCCAGCCTAGTCGGTGGTAGGGTTGGATGGGGTGAGTACCTGAGAAGTCCTTGATTTAGTGTAAACACTGCTTAGCACAACTGAAACTTTGGTGTTTCATCAACATTATTTTCATACTAAATCCAAAACACTTTACTGCACCAGCCACTAGGAAGAAAATTAGCTTAATCCCAGCCTAAACCAAGATACCTCAGTGAGGCATCTCTGCACCCATGAAACTGCAAAGCTCCATCTGCCCTTGGGAATTCAGGTTAAGTCAAGGACAGAGGAAGATGCTTTAGTGGTTCTGCCCCATGACAGGTCAGCACCACTGCTGAGTGTGTACACCACCCTCCATAGCTTCTGGTCCCTTTCTGTGCTCCCTTCTACTCAACTGGCACAGACTGCTGCATCTCCTGGTTGCACCTGTTAGCTGTACTCTGTTACACATCTGTGTCACACAGGTATGCTTAAATCTCCTGTGGGGCATCACCCAGTTGGTTCTCTTAGTACAAGACTGGCAAGACACATATTCCTAAAAATACAGTAACAAGTGCGATCTTCAACAGTGCCAACAGAAACACTTGGGAAGTAATTCTTCTCACTGGGATTTGACATTATTGGATGCATGTTGGTTCTAATGCAGTTCTAATCATTTATAAGCACATATTGTTATTCTCTGTTTTTATTCTTTTGAATCTGCTCATACCACTGAAAGTAGTTCAGAAACATCTCTTTATCTTCAGGAACTGGATACTACCTATTCATGTGCTCTGGGCAGTTCATTGTTTTCCTTTTGATTTTAGGTGCTTCCTTGGTCAGCTAGTCAACTATTCTAGATACTGGTTTGAAACAGTAATGAGAATCTAGACACCTAACATGGGGGACAAGTTAGTATCTACAAATCAGGAAAAAAAAATACTTAAAGGCAATTATAACTATAACCTACTGAAATTTCTGTAATTTAGATCCAAAAAGATTGATGGCCCTAAATGCTGTGGCAATGATATGAGTTCCAGGTCCTCAAACCTCCAAAGACTAGGCATTTAGATGCACAATACCTCTGCTCAATGCATGAATGAATGCAAAATTGGTTGTGATGTAAAATGATTATGTTGGATTCACAACTGTTCACCACTCTCCACAAACATAATTCTATTTCTTATTCCTATTCTAGGAAAGGTAATGAATCAGTAACTGTTAGCTCTTGAGAAGGATTTAAGACCTTTGAGAAAAAAATTCTATTTTTAGTTATGGAAAAGTGAGAAAAGTAAATTAAACACCACCATAATATAATAACCTGCAGTCAACAAAGAAGAAAGATAAACTGTTGAGATCAGAATTTAAGTCTTCCTTTTGTATCAGGAATTGTGAGACTTTAGAAAATAGGTCTGCCTGAAATAAATCACATAAGTAAATATATAAATTACATTAATTGAGTTGGTTTACTTCCATCTGGTAAAAGATGTCAAAGTATGCACAAGTAGGATTTAACAGGCAAATTAACATTCTTTCCCATTAAGGGTAACAATATGGAATAGAATATATATATCTGAACAAATCCTGTTTACTTTCCAAAATTGCCTACTGAGAATAAACCATGGTCTCTGCTAGATTCCAAATAATGCCCAGAGACACTTGGAGAGACCAGTAATTGCCTCAGGATAAAAACTTGCAGGGGACTTTCCCAGCAGTTTGGCAGTAGAAACAACACATTCAGGCATTCATAACATACCACAGAATACCATTTTCTAGTATAGAAAATGTCCTTAAAACCTGCAAAATCCAATACCATTTTTGCATTTGAAAATAAATTTTTTAAAAATGAAATTTCATCAAGATTCTTTTTATTAGGAAATTGATTTAAAGACATATATTTTTGAAAGGAAAAATAGCATTTTAGTTTTATTTTCCAAAAATGAAACAGCAATAATAGTGCTATTTCCCCATGCATCTGACTGTTCAACTTGCTTGCCAATTCTCCTCAAAAACTTTCTAGGAAGTAAGTGAACATTGAATACAAATCCAAGGAGCTAGACTTTACTAATATTCAAGTCAATCTGTATTTCCTAAGTTCAGGCTACTACATAAGATGGGATTCTCTGTCAAAAGTTTCATTTTATAGGATAATGCTAGAAGTTGAGGTAGAAATTCTTATTATATAGGTAATACACATTCAAATTGTGTGTCTGCATTCAAGGCCATAGTAATAACAATCACCCTGTAACACACACCAGTATCCAGACTGGTAACCTGCTCTGTCACTTGCAGGACACTGTGGCCCTCACAGTGACACAGCACAAGAAGCATAAGTTGGAACACAGGAAATTTTGACTATGTGTAGAAAAAACAAAACCCAAAAATGTTAGAGTGGTTGGCCAGAGGGTCGGTAAAGAGTCCTTCCTTGGTGATACACCAAGGGTGATTGCACCAGGCCCTGACGAGCCTGCTTTAACTGGAAGGAGGCTGGACTACACAATCTCCAGAGGTTCCTTCCAACCCACACAATGGCTTCTTATGGCTGCTTATATGGAGTCTAATGAGCAGAAAAGGAAGAGCTGGTGAGAGAACTCAAAGCTGGTCCAATTAATTCACAAAATAAAAGTGAGTCTTGAAATGGATTTGTATCTCTTTGGTGACTAACATATATTAAAGGACATTTGTATATCTTACTGGATTGCTTAGATAGTCTTTGTTCAGCTGCAGGCATTTGACTCCCTTGTAACCTCTATTTTTAGTAACCTCTGGATTTCAGAGTAAATCTTAAGAGATAGGAGGTTTTCAAGGCTGTCACAAATAACCTATCACTGATGTATATAAAGTTTCTCGATTCAGCAAATTAAGTGAAAGATATATTTATGTATAAACATACCTGGAAACAGCAGAAAAGAATACCCAAAGACACCAGGAAGTCTAACCCTAGTCAAAATCAAATGGCCCTAGAATCCCTAATCTAAGGCAGGGTTGAGCGACTGCCTTAAGACCATTAAAACAAATAAGACAGAGTGTTAGAGGAAACAGTGACAAGAGTGTAGACTTCCAAAGAAATGTGAAACATCAACCTGAGTGCTGAAAGCAAGTAAGTTACCATCACTATCTGTTGTTTCTACTGTTTTTTAAGGAATGGAGTTTTGTGCACATCCTTTACAAATGAGCAGAACTGCGCCCAGTTCTGTTGTACCTGACTTGTACTACAACTCTAATTAAAACAAATATGCAGGGCACAGACAGTGAAAACCAGAATGAAATAAATAAGATGTGGAATACAATTGCCAAAAACATGTGTTTTTGTGGTTTTTCTAAACCCTGAAGATACCTAGTCAGCTCACTAGCTGTCACTCCAGAAAAACACAGCTTCTTCTTATGTGTGAAGAGAGAATTTGGCGTTCCAGGTAGCCTGTTTTGTCTCAAATGGTCCCCACCATCCATGTTTACGCAGGTGAATTGAAGACAAGTTTTTTCAGACCGAACATAGAACTTGTGTAATTATGTCTCACTTGTCACTGCAGAAGTTAGAGGTGGCTGTTTTGCCATCCGTTGTTATATTTCTCTTCTTACCCTCATCACCCTTCATGCTATGGTGAGATGAAGTAAGGGCCTTTCAAAGAGAAAAGCAAAAGAAACCCTTACTGCAGACTAAAGAAAGGCAGCTCAGACAGTCCAAAGATTTTTATTTCCAAGCCAAATGCTTTTGGCTATAGAGGTGATCTCAGACCCTGCTATCTTTTCTTTGGGTATTAAATAATAGTATTCTTTGTTTAAAAAATATCTGTTGAAGCACTGGAAGGAAAGGACTATCCATGTCTTCTGTGATTGAAGCATTCAACTTTTCTAAAACCACAGGGAAAAATCCTGCTCAGATAACATTTAAGTCTTTATTTACCAAAAAAATTCCCTAGCCTGAGGCTAGACCATGCACATTTGATGTGATACAGACAGGAGACTGTACTGAAATTGTTTCAAATAAATTTCATTGAAGGAGAAAGGTGTGAAATAGTTTCTGTATGAAGAAGGTTGAGCAGCTCAGGACTGTTCTGGTTGGAGAAGCAGTACTATAGGCCTAATAAAACATTGAATGGCAAGAAGAAGATTAATAGAAATAACAGTTTGTGGATTCTTCCCATATAAGAACTAGAGATTATCATATAAAACAGCAATCTGCAAGCCCTAAGTAGAGATCCTTAATTCAAGACACTGCATATAAGGTACACATAAGCACTGTGAATAATTTTTACAGGATGTTGCAGGTGCTACAATTTTATATTTTGTACAAAGTGGCTAGAAATATTCATGGGGAGAAAAAATCAAGGACCATTAATTACAAACGTGTCATATGACTGACTCAAATTTGCACAGGCACAGAAAATTTCAGTATAGGTTTGGCAGACACACACCACTGACTATTGTGAGACAGGCTGCAAGGCTGGAGAGGCATTTGCCTGATGTGGCCATGCCTATATTCTCATCTGAATAAAGAAGAGCTGTGTTTTGCAATGAGGGAGAGACTCCAGAGAGTCCAAAGCTTATAGCTCTATGTTTGAGCAGAAACACCAGCCTGCAGCTCCAAAACTCCTCCTGAAACTTGCTCATCTATTCCCAGCATTATCTTATGTAAAGAACAATAGGAAAAGAACATTTTGTTTAAAAAACTTCCAACCAGTTCCTCTGTTATCCAAACCAAAACTCCACACTTTTCTGAGGTTTCCCTTCCAGAACCACAAAAGACATTGGCACATTGTATAGACTCAGGCACCAGTAAAATCCAATATGTATTTAAAGAAGACTGATTGCCTGTCCTTACTGCAATGATTCTAAGGCCCAGTGCTCCACAGGGGAGAGATATAAGACAGCCAGGAAAGACATCGTGAAAACAGACAGTGAGCATATAAATCACCAGTGCAGCTCAGACATGGAAGCTGGAAAGATGACTCCTATTTGGAAGATAAACTGCACTGTACATGCTAAATCATATCAAGCAAATCTTTTGATATAGGCAAAATGCAGAATACTGTGGGGACAGGAAAGAAATCAACCTTCTGCCCCCAGTGAAAACATTGGCTTTTTTGAGCCAGAAACTGGAAAGGGTTATTTTTTTCCTTGTGTTGAAATATCTCCAGACCATAGCTGGGAGGAGGACTGGGGCACTTGCCTACAATGATTCAATCTAATATGGAAAAAAATATATGTTCTTATGATATTTTCTAGCACCAAAGTATTTGTCTGCTTTAATAAGCCCAAAGAACCTAGGTGTCTGGTGATTTCTGGTCATAAATCAGGACCTCATTAGCAGAAAAAAGTATTAAAAGAAGGCAAAGATTCTGGCAGGAGTCTTGAGAAAACAATTGAAAAGCATTTTTGGAGTTTCAGTCATTTTGGTCCAATATTGCAAAGGCTACAGCTCTGAGCAATAGTAGTTCCAAAGTCAACTTAGTCTGTCAACTAAGTACCTTAAAGCTCCTGAATTTACTGAATTTTAGACCACCGATTCAATTCCACTTTCTGCCTGTGACTGGATACTGCCTGCTTAGAGCAGCGCGCAAAGCTGTGGCTGTGGGAGGGAGCTGAAGAAAGTCATGCTACCTGACCAACAGGAAATTCAAAGTGCATCAATTCTGAGTCCAAAGAGCTGTTGAAAAGTAAGATAAGGTTCAGAAGGGGATTACTGTGTCCTAAATGTGATATTTTTATTGAGAGGGCAATGCTTAAATTACATTTTTATGAGCCAGAGTGGCATACCATCACTTTTTCATTTTACTGGGAAGCTTGCTGGGACTTCTCTGGTTCACAGCTGCAGAACGGATTAGTTTTATCCTCTCCTGAATGAGTCCTTCAGTCCCAGTGTAACTTCTAACTTGGAAGCAGCATGCAAGGATACTACAAGAGCAAAATTATTATATCATGAGACAGAGCAAAAGAGAAACAGGAATAAAAAGTAATAAAACACTAAGACTTGATTCGAGCAAAACATTTATGCGCAGGTTAGCCTTAAGCATCCCTGACTAGTGAAGCACTAAAGCATGTTCTTGGGTTTAATCGAAGTTAATGGGATTTACACAAGTCCTGAAGGTAATCATATGTTTCGCTGCTTCATTAAATCAGAATACAAGTATGAAATGGCAATGGTTATCCTCAGAGAATTCAACTGAAATACAGGGTGATACAAAACTATCACGCTAAAGTATTTGTTATTAAAATTCAAACACAAAAATATGTTAAAGAAAGTGCAGGTTGCATAAGAGCTAAGCCTCAGAATAGCACTTTGTTTAACAAGGTATCTGAGACACAGGACCTGTTTCAGTGTAAAATCAGAAGTAACTACAGTAAAGCCAAGGCTGACGCAGCTGAGATCAATATTTAACCCCAGAGAAGGGGAAATTTCTTAAAGTTTAGGGGGAGGGGAAGAAAAATGGAGAACAGGTCCCCAGAGAATGTGATAAATGGTGATGGGTTAGGCAATATAGTTCTGCTTCCAAAAGCCAGGCTTAATCCTCACTCAGGAGTAGACATTGTGCCACATATTTAATCTATCCCTTAGAGAGAGTCAAAAGGATCAAAAGCATCACACAGATACTTAAAGGGAAAGGTCATATTCCCATTGAGGACTAATGACTATATCCGTTCCTGCGAGCACGGGGATTTCTGGTGAGGGAACTAAAACTGCAGTGTTTCCAGCGTTAACTCTGGCTGTAGGGTGTCTGCTGCCACAACAGCTTCTTGAACCTTTACTTTACTTTACTTTACCTTCCCCTTTACTCTAAACCCTCATGCTGTGAACTTGCAGCTCCCTGTGTTTCTCCTACAGCTTTTCCATATCTTTCAGCAAAGGGATTTCTTCAACAAAACTAAGCTCTGTGATCAGATCACCCAAAGCCACTGCAATGTCTCAAAACTACCAAAGCCTTTGTGGTTACAGAAGAATTGTAGAGAGCTGCTATAATTTAAGAGCAGGGATTTTTTTTTTTCCACTGTAGTGGTTCAATGTGTGTTGTGTGCACACATGTGCTTCAGCACAGATGGAGATTCAAATGAATATCAGACCCTTTGGTGTGAGTTCAAATTTCCTGAAGGTGTTGGAATGTCTGTAAAACATCAGATGCCCTTTTGGTTGTTTTTTTTATAAATACATTTCAATTCTCTGCTGATTTGGCATTTCACTTTATTTAGGAAAATCAGGGAAAATATGACAACATATTGAAAAAAGTTATTATGGAAAAAAAGAACATGGAAAGAGAAGGAGGTTTGGATGTCCCTGACAGCTACCTGCCTTTGTTATACAAAGCCACCTATGATTCTTCTACAACCACAAACAAGCCAGGTTTTCTTTGTGCTCTGTCCAGAAAGGAAGTTCAAAATATGTACATCTACTCCAAAGCCATTAATCTTTTTTATAAGATTATTGGGGAGAGTAGAGAACCACTGTCATATTTCTTAAAATTAATTTTCCCCAAAGCTTCAGGATTCTTTTAAGTAGGGTTTAATATACTCTTTCTTTTTTTGTCTCCTAACACATTTACCTCCTAAACAATAGTTACTTTATGACTGTTTTACATTTTTACTGCTTATATTCATTTCTCTGTTTCTTCAGGAAAGAAAAAAAAAAAAAAGCCAAAAAAACCCCAGACCCCAAAACTTCAGACCCCTGCATTGCATTTGAGCTTGCTACTATCAACCCAGACTCATATGGCTGGTGAGGCTGTGTTTCCACAAAGGCTGAAGAATATATTGCATTAAAGAGTTTCTAAATGGTCAGTAAGACCAAGAAAACAATAATCACTGAACCTTTCAATTCTCAAAAATGGTTTCAATTGCATATTGAAAGTAACATAAGGCAAAACAGCAACAAAAATCTGATTCAGGCCCCTAAACAAATGTCATCACTGCTTAGACTTCAGTGAGGGTGTTAATTATTATCACAAAGTGAGGAAACCACAGAATTGTTGGATGAAACACACGTTTCATGTGGAGAAAGTAGTACAAACAAACCAAAAACATACATCATTCTTCATGAAGTACAGAGAAGATGCATCTATTTATTCAACAAGCCTTAGGGATCCTCCTCCTGTACAAACTATCTAAGCTAGTACAGTACAACTTGCATCCCATGACTGCTACAGTCTTCCATATGCTTGTAATTTATTAACTATCTCAGCTATGAGACTAGAACTGGAATAATTCTAAATGTCATTAAGAAGGAGCTTACTGTGTTAAATCCACATATACTGTACTATGATACCAAGACCAGACAACCAACCTTCTCCCATATATCCAAATCTGAAGTTCTTTAAGACAAGATTTAAATTAAGAAATGCAATTATTCTACCTGGGTCTAGGACATGGAATATATAAAAGGTGTGCATTCATCATGCTATATATGGATAAGCCATCCACATGGTGAAAAAATGTACTTCTCACTACAATAGCATAGGGAGCAGTGATGCATGTAGTTCAAAAGTTATCCCACAGAATGACAAATCGCAGGTATTTCACACTAAGGTGTGAAGGCCAGAGCAAGTAGTTTTTGGATAGTCTGTCTAGAAAAGTATCCTTTCCCTCCTTTATTATCAAGATTATTTGTTACCTAGAGCTGAGTAAAAAATAACATATCACAGTATGTATATAAATACAGGAACATCATCTAGCCATGCCACAAATATTTGTTATTTGTGAACCAATCTATGAATAAAATTAGTTAGAGTGTTGAGAAAAAAATAAAGACTAGGCAGTTCACTGACTTGTACTCAGATTTAAGAAGGACGGATCCTTTCCTGGTATGCACTCATGACCATGAGCAATTTCAGTGTATCTCTTTGCTATAGATTGATGTCATATATGATAGACAAGATAAGCTGACATGCTTATGTTATGTCTCTATTGACACATTTACCTGAATCATAGCCACACTGACAAACCTTGTCTTTTGGCTGATAAACATCAACTTTGTACAGGTTTGCACAATGGCTGAATATCGGTTTCAGCAGGCGAGATCTAGGTTGAGAGAAGGTGGGTGAAAATCTCCAACTGCTGTACAAAGGTGATACAACAAATTTCACAAACTGAAACTTCAATTCAACCTTATTGAATCCCTAGAAATTCCTAACAACAGAATCCTAGAACTGGTGTACTAAATATAATTAAATTGCTTTAGGTCAAGTAACTTTTAACTTAGGTCATTCACCATCAGCAATTTGAGCTAGCTTGACTTAAACTAGGTTTAACATGGTCTACTTTTTCAAATGACCCATAACAATTCTATTCCTTTATTTTCTAACTGATGTACAAATTAATCTTTTCAAATGTCTCCTACTTCGAAATCTGCAAGCAATGCCAGTCCTGCACAAACCACACCTTTACTTGAATTTACTGCCATCATTTTAGAAAGCTTATTTAAAAGAATATAACCCAAATATGTGCTTTTTTTATGAAAAACACTTTTCAAGTTCATTTTGCCAGAGAAAATACTAATTTTCCAGAAAGGCATATTTCATTTGCTACCAAAGAGGACTGACTGTAACATAAAGCGGGTGGCTCCCTCAGAAGAAAGAGAAACAATTTGACATGGTAGGTCTGGTATCCTTTTGCAATATCAAATGAAGCCCTACATTTTCAAAATGATGCATGGGAACTCAACCACGTGGTGCCCATTAAAGTCTGTGCCAGCTCTTATGGTTTATGAGGTCACCAGAAGTCCTTGATGGAATTACACCCCGGTCCTGCACAGTGGATTCTCTTGTATCACAGATTCTGAATCAAAGTCCATAAGGTTAACAAAAATGTCTGCAGTCAGTCTGCTCAGGTTTGGACCATGTATTTCCACTGGAAAGAGAGAAACAAGAGAGAAATAAATTACTGAACAATTGTTAGTGTAACAGCATGGCATGGATCTTATGTTGACACATATTCCTGTATGGTAATGGGGAAATAATGTCTTCCTGTAGTTGTGCTCAAGGCATCTGAATGAAAAGAGAAACACTGGGGAATATTCCTCTGAAAAACAAAAGGACATCCTGTGAGAGTGCGATTACAAATTCTTTGAGTACTCCTAACAGTTGTCAGACAACATATGAAACACAGTATACTTGAAGAATAAATATTCTGTGCTCTTTGTGCATTATATGCATTTTAGGAATTTGCTGTTCTGGTGCACATATGTCAGTTTTGTATTTATTGGACCGAACCTTTTTAAATCTACCCTAATAGTAACATTCAATATCCAAAAGTGAAACCTGGCACTCAATTTGCACAAAGACTTTGCACATTGTTGTGTTTTAAAACACTCAGTAGTTAATAAAAGATGGTGGTCTATTGGTATATTGGTTTTCATATTCTCTCCACTGGAATATGATCTTGCTTTAGCAATAAACTGATATGTTGATTGAATACTTTCCAATTCTCTAGGTTTCTAGGAGTGTTCCTGAGGTTGTATCATGTAGCAGCACAGTGACTGTGTTATAAGAATCCTTATTGGAAAATGAAAAGCCCTGGTCTCCTGCATCTGTATATTGTAGGTAGAATAATTTTATTCAAAAAGTAGGTGCTTGTCAAGCCACATGATGATATTAATTTTTATAACATGGACCAGGAATTTGTACGCTTGTCAAACATAGTCTGGACTCCATCAGGTTACAAAGTGTTCTAAGGTAGTCAACAATTTAGGGAGCAATTTGCATGCATTAGTACATGCATACCTTGCAAATGAAGGTCTGGAAAGAAGACATGCTTCTTGAAGGAGATTTGCACAAAGCAAAGAAATTATGTCTCTGAGACAAGCAGTAAATTAGAAAGCATAACAGCAATGCCATAAAGATTATCACCAGGTGTTTCCAAGGGTGCATGTTGTCTATGGTTTACTTAAGCTTCTGTTACCCAGGGCTGTGAATGGGGTACCCTGGCTAGACAAAAACCGAAACAGTGCAGCACTTATTTTACAGCAACCAAGATCAGATCAGACAGGGAGAGAAAAAAAATTGACACTTCATATGGCACCTCTCTGAACTAGGGAATACAGACGATACAAATATAGCTCTACTGCTGCTGGATTCAGGTGACTTCACACTTACTGCCCTGTCTGTCTGAGAGCTGCAGAGGTCACCACTGGATAAGTGTGAATTAACCATAAAGGGAATGCAGCACTATATCAAATGAATTTCTGCAGCAGCTGGGGAGGCTGTGGCAAAATTTCAGAGGTTTTGAAGGGACGATCCGAGTGGTACAATGACTTTTGATTTTCCAAGAATGGCTGATCCCAGTGGTACTGTGGCTTTTCATTTTCCAAGGAAGATTCTTTTAACACACTCTAGAGTGTCTTCTGTCTTTTGTTTTAGTTTCTGTTGTTACTGTTCTTTGAAAAGAAAGAAAAGTCAGGCAGGTTCAGAGTGGGGCAATTTTTTCATTAGAGAGGATTGAATCAGCCAGTAAAGGACAAAGTTTACAGCAGGAATTCTGTGAAAGAAGCATTGTGTACTTATGTTCACATGCAAACTTTGTGATATAGCCTGTAATATTATACCTTTTGCAGCCAGGCTGCCTTTCTTGCCTTTGCTTAAATGTCAGTATACATATAGCTGACCTGGGCTATTCCCCACTTCCATCATCTCTTCATTCCTCTGTACATCAAGCACCAGCCAAATTTTACTGATAAAGCCAACACTAAGCAGAAGGAAAAATATGCATTCTTCATGCTGTACAGCTGAGCAGGGCTAAATGGCTAATAAAAAGTCACAGGCAACAATTTTAAAAGGGGGAAAGGAAAGGGCTGGTGCTGTGGGTGGAACTGGTAAAGGAAGGAGGCTGGAGTGACGGGCTGTGGAGGGGGACATGTCAGTCCTTGAGCTGGTGCTATTGCCAGTCCCTCTACACAGTTTGAGCTGCACCACCTCAAAAGTGCATTGTTATTTCTGCAAAATTTTTACTTCCATCAGAGGGCATTTTGGGTGAGCTGAGATCAAAGGCATTTGAATTAGTTTTATATACAGCTTAACTGAGGTAGATATTTGACATGGATAAATACTTTGCCAGCAGCAAAGAAATATTAATTAACAATTTGCAATCCCTCACCTTACAGCTATATTTCAATGTCCTATTTCTGAAGAAGTATTCACAACCCTGATATGAAGGCTGCAGAATTACATAGTCTGGGCTTGTAATTAGCTTTTGGTAATATATTAAAATATGTATTATAGAATTGCCTGGGTTGGAAGGGACCTTAGAGATCATCTAGTCCCAAGACTCCTGCCATGGGCAGGGATACATTCCATTAAACCAGGTATCTCAGAGCTCTATCCAAGCTGACCTTGAACACCTTCAGAGATGGAACATCTTCAACTTCTCCAACCCATTCCAGTGCCTCACCACCCTCACTTCTTTCCTAGTATCTAATCTAAACCTACTCCCTTTCGGTTTAAAGGTTTCCTTATCTGGTAACGACACGCTCTTGGAAAAGTCCCTCTCTGTCTTATAGGCCCTCTGCATGTACTGAAAGGCTGCAGTTAAACGACCCCAAAGCCGCTTCTTCTCCAGGCTGAGCAATCCCAATTCTCTTGGCCTTTCCTCTCAGAAGTGCCTCTAATCAACTTGGTGGCCTTGCTTTGGAGTTGCTCCAACAAGTCAAAGTCCATCTTGTGCTAGGGACCCCAGAGCTGGTTTCAGTACTTCAAAGGAGACCCCACCTTGAGTATAGGTGTTGACAGATTGAGAATTCCTAATAAATCATTCTATGCTGCTGGAGCTGTGCGAGATTGCGAATTGCTAATTAATAACTCCATGCTGCTGGAGCTGTCACTTAAACTAAAGCTGCGAGCTCCTTTGCCCTCCGCAGGGCCGCGTCAGCGACACCCGTGCCCTGACCACGGCGCGCTCCCCTGTACCGCGCTCCTTTTTCTCCGCGTCACCTACACCAGGCTGGGGCGGCACGGCCTCCTGCGGCCCCGCGGCACGTCCGCAGCTGGGAAGCAGCACTGCGGCGCTCCCGAGGCAGCCGGGGCCGTTCCCGAGGCAGCCGGGGCCGCTCCCGAGGCAGCCGGGGCCGTTCCCGAGGCAGCCGGGCCCGCTCCCGAGGCAGCCGGGGCCGTTCCCTGCCGTGGAACCCCGGCCGGGCCAGCGAGGCGGGCGCGGCGCCGCACGGCGCTGCCGCCAGGGGGCGCCCGAGCGCGGGCCGCCCGCGTGCCGCGCCGGGATGGCTGGAGCGGGGAAATGCGGGAAGCGTCCGGGAATGTCAGCGTGGAGAGCACATTGGTGGCCGTCGACATGGAAGCGATCACCGGGTGAAGTCCTGTGCTCGGCCAGCATATTTTTGGCTGGGCAGAAACTCAGGGAAAGCCTGCGACGCTGTTTAAAATGGCCCCTTCCTTGCAAAGCCCTCAGGTCGCAAACGCAGACAGGAATTCTAAAAGAAAATGCCTTTATAATTCACAAGTAAAGGAAAAGTAGCTTACAAAAGGCTTTTTTCTTGCTGCCATCCTAAATCCGTGTTTCTTCCCAAAATGTTATAGCCTTTGCTAATTTGGTGTGTTTAACTGAATTATTTTTTTTCTCCTTCAAATGATTGCGACATAATGATGCGTGAAAACAGATTCATGTAAACTTTGAGATTTGGAATATAAAATGGGAAAACCTGAATTAATTGTTCAGATAAAAAAAGAAGGAGAAGAGGAAGAAGGAGAAGGAGAAGGAGAAGGAGAAGGAGAAGACGGAAGAGGAGGATAAGAAGGAAACACCATAATTCAGAAAGGCATTAATTAATTGGATTAAAAGGAACCCATGCTTTCCTGTTAAGTTATAATATGAATGGTAGCATTTTGAACTTTTGGCCTAAAATAGTTATATCGAGCTTTGATCCGTGGGACGTTAACAGACAGGAAGCAGAGGAGTGAATTGGGGTGAATTTAATCATATCCAGAGATAGAATTAGCTCTTATAGTGCCTAGCGGCAGTTAGGGTCTCTAGGAAAAGGTATTATAAAAATAAAACCAGAAAGGGAAAAAGGGCCATTTCTGTATATTTGAGAGAATAATATGACATCCTTCCCTAATATGAGTCATGAAATGAAGGCCAAGTTTGTCTTTATCATCAACCAAAGAGGGCCACTGTTTGCAAATAGGATTAAACACTGTAGACCAGCAGTTACTGTCACCGCTTGTTTCTTGGGTTTTTATTCTCCTTTTATATTAGCAATCTTTTCTCAATACATGTGTGAATACATGGATTAATGGCCCTTCTCCTGAGTCATGAGAGCTACAGATGCTCTCCTTTCTTTTCAGCCTTGGTTATTAGCTAAATATCAAATCCTGTTTGGTTAACACAGAGACTGGATCTGTGTAAGTTGGCTCAGCATAGGATGTAGCCCTATTATGCTCCCTGATTTAGTTCTTAGTCTCCACATCAGTTCATCCGTGTCATTAATATGTATCAGTTCCCAATAGATCATGTTTTCATGTAAAAACCTAAACTCAGGCTATCTATAAATGCAAGCTGTTCAGTAGTATTAAGACTCCTCTAGGAAGGATCCTAAAAATACTTTATAGATGGGGCTTGAGAAGGGTGTGCTCACCAGAATACAGATAGGTTCAAGTCCTGATTCAGACCTGTGCTCAGACACAGGGTGTTTGTTCTCATGTGTACCTTCCTGTTTAATTGCTACATTAATACCTGTTCCCACAGAAGGCATTGAAGTGCCTGTAAAAATGTGCAGGACATATTCCATAGCTAACAGCCTATAAACTGGGAGGTAGAATAAAATGATTCAAGAAATACTGGAGATATCCTCTTTACATCAAAAGAAACAGCACTTCATTTTTCAAAGGCCAAAGCATCAGCACAGGTGACAATGTCTTTCAAAGTGTAGAGTAGATATTAACTCACTTCACTAGAACTATGCAAAACCTCAGAAAGATGTGCTTCACATGATTATGTATTATATAGCAAAGGGAAAGGAAGGAAGGAAGAAAGAAATCTCCCCAGCCTTTCTGTAAATGCATACAATAGAACTCATTGAAAAGCCTCTCAGTATATTGCAGTACTGAACAGTAAATCAATGTAATCTGAATTTCTGCAGTAGCAGGAAACTTTCCAAATGATCGCTATAAATGGAGCACATGTTTTACGTATAGGTTACTATTTTTGGCAGTCCATCAAACCCCTTTGATGTGTAGACAGTGGGGTTTCATCCAGCTAGCAGGGCAAGAATAAAATGTCCATATTCTTCCTTGTGCCAAGATCCACTCAGAGCAGGAGATGGGGAGCTGGTTACGGTCACAGTTCTACAGCTGCTCCTGTGTCAGCCTGAGCAGAACTTAGATAAGCTTATGTTTTAGTCCCTGAGATGTACCCATTAAGAATCAAGAGCACTCTATTCTGCTTCTGTGAGTCTCTCAGTCACTCCTTGTGCCAGCACAGGGAGAAGAATTGGCACAGCAGCTGTTTATACCACCTTGCACTGGCTGCATGGTTCCTTACATAGGGAACATCCCCCGGGGGCCAGTTAAGGCTCTGGAACACCTGCACAATACAAAGTGACGGAAACCAGCACAGAGTCTGGCCCGTGAGTCCTCAAAATGGAAAAAGGCAGATGGAAAAAAACACACCAAGGCAAGGGAAACCAGGCATTGCATGAGGATTAGAAAGAAAAGACCAGAATGAAAATTTGTAAAATGAAGTAAATCACTTCCTGACTGCAACAGAGCTGAACTTCAAAAAAGATCCACTAAGCCCACAGCACTGCTGCTCGGGACAGACAGTGTCTGAGTGTCCTTCCTCTCCTCGGGTTTCTCATCAAAGATGATGTCAAGATTTATGTGTCCCTTTCTGAATAGTTCTGTGAGTTTAAACTAGCCTCAGTCCATTACAGCTTCCACATAAAGCAGCAAGAAGTAAAATGTTTTTTTGCATGTGGATAATGCACTATGGGACACGAGTGTCCAATAGCCGTTATTTTGTGGCTGTCCAATAGCCATGAATCTGTGGCTATCCAAGTTGATTCCAATTACGGAGAGAAGACAGTGTTTACAAAGAGAATTAAAAATGTCTATTTTGCCCACTACATTCTTTTTATTTTTAAACTTTTTTTTTTTAAACTCATTATACTCATGGCATATATATATATGTACATTTTCATTATCCCGTCATCAAAGCACACAAATACTAAAACCTTTCTGCTGTTCTGAGTGACATATTTCAGGAGTAACTACTCAGAAATAACTGCTGTAGATGTGTCTGGCTGCTGAACATGAAAGTATGGGTGCTGCTGACTGCCTGGCAGCTGGCCCAGCATTTAACCCTGCTGTTTTAAAATGTCGTAAAATAAGCACAATTTAATCTTTTGAAACCTTTTGGTCAGTGACTGTGATTTCCGCAAAAAATGACTTCAAAGGAAAGACAGGCACCTTTGTTGATGCCTTTTTAAGCAGTCATGAGTTCCAAATTATTTTAAAAAAGAGAAGCAAAAACCTCAAAGTGTGTAACACCTCCTCAGAATTAGATGCTGAAGCGATATGTAAACTGGGTTGTAAAAATCGATCCTTCACTAGTGATGTGGCTCAGAATGATATAATTAAAAGATAATGTCAATGGAAAAAGTATATCATCCTAGACTAATGGGCTCCTCCTGACACATAAATACCACAGCAAAACCTCTATTTTAATGAAAAAATACCATTTAGAAGCCAAGATATTTGATTTTCAAAGCAGGATGTGTTGAAAATGTTCTATTTCTGTGGCTTTATTTCTGTTTTGCCAAATATCTGACACGGAATTAACACTTTAGCCTTGCAGTCTTCACATAATACACAAGATTCCTCCATGCCTCAAAAGCAGCATGCTTCACCTGTGCAAAAAGCAGCTGACTTCTGCAAATAGGGTTCCTTTTTGTTAGTGAGTTGCAATTTTAACGTAGACTGAAGGTTTTATTTCAAAACTTAGTTGTGAAAAAAAATTATCCATATGTAATCATTTGACATTTATTCCATTCACCTTGATTTAAGGAATGTGGGCATTGCTGAGCATGAGACTGTTTAGGTGGTTGTTTTTCACTGCAGTAAAAGTGCAGTTAAAATTACCTTTTAAACAAATACAAGAGGGGGAAAAAAAAGAATATGAAGATACCTTGAAGAGCATTTGTTCTATCACTGTATGCCAGGATGCTTCTAAAATGCCTACCAGATGTGGTCCTCAAAAGTCTTAGGCATCTTCTGCTTAGTTCCTGGCTTTAGACCAGTCCAAGGAAAGAACTGGCTGATGAGCTGCTCTGACCAAGCTGATCTGGACAAGATCTGGATGACTGTTGTCACCTACAAAACTTTAAAATCAAAAAGGGAAGTGCCTTGCAAGACTAGGCGCCTCCAGGATTAGGCAGCAGCCAAGTATGGGTTTCTGGAGAGTGCTTTTGGATGCTGTTCCACCTACATCCTGCCTTAGGTGCCTAAGTCCTTTACTAGAGCTAGCCAGAAAGGCTAGATTCCCATTGAAGTCTGGAGAAGGATTTACATTAACTTAAGTGGATTGGTTCAGGCCTTAAAATGAGAACCATGTGTACATCCTTATGAGGAATCTGGTCCTTTCTGTTTATTCATTGTGATTTCTTGCAGTATTGAACCATTCCTATGCAAGAATCCACAAATAATAGGTCAGAAGATGTTCTGGAGGATGAGAGCTGTGACTTTCATGCCTGTAGTCAGTGGTTCTGGCCATACAGCAGCCACCCTGGCTAATGGGCCACTCCAGCCACATACACCATTCAGGTCATATATAAGCTCTAATTGTATTACTCGTTTGGCTCGTCAATACTTTTCCATGGAGCTGAAGGAAAGGAGAGCATATGGAATAGAGAAGCAGGAAAATTAATGAATGAAAGAATATAACTTTCAGGGTTCTGGCAATGTTTTCACATCCATATTTTGCTCCACTCCCCTGAGGTCACAAAAAGCAAATGGCATGTTCATTTCCTTCCATCTGTGCTACTCTGAACAGCAAATAGGAACTTATATCAAACTTTCTTAATAAGCAGGGTGGGAGGAGAGCTG